CCACCCTCTCAAACTTTGTCTCGCGATACACACAAAAGAGTGGCCTCACAGCGCCAGGCGGGGTGCGCACACACACACACACACACACACACACACACACACACACACACACACACACACGCATGTGCGCACACACAGAGATGTAACACATCTACTTAAAAAAAGTTTTACAGAATTTCACATTCCCAACAGCTGCCAAAAAAGGCACTAGGTAGGTACAAAAGGTGTGCACACATCTTAAGGGGAATGTCGAGAGAACCATTAACTTCACGTGTCTCTCTTTGTAATGATGCAGAAACCAGGAGTAAGTTCCCCTGTGAGCCACATTATATGTACAACTGGTGTTCCAGTTCAACCAGTTGGATTGGTTAAGGATTTTTGCCTCACTGGTCATTCGAACTGCAATTTGCAATACGTGCTAATAACAGTCTTGTTTTTGTTTTGTTTTTTGTTTTTTTGTTTTTTCCTGTCTGCTTTACACTTTCTGACACAGTAGAAGCACATTAAGGAACAGAGGTTCTACATTACTCTGTGTGTGAGAAAGACTTAATGAGATGGAAAAGTTCAAAATAGCAGTAGTTCGTTTATTATATAAGGCAGTCATATTGAATTTTTAGGTTGGGTTTGGTGAGAAACCTACAACCTATGATCACCTTTTCTTGAAAATCGCTCCCAGGGAACATTTTTTATGATGAAAATACATCAAAGCAATCTGTAAATGGTTCATGGACAGAGAACAATTGAGTCCAAATTACAGATAGACATTTAATTTAAATGTGAACATTTTTAGAATAAGAGCAGTACTGTACACATAACATCTCTTTGACTGAATCAGTTTTTGGCTTTAAAATAAGGAAATATGCAGAGTATTTGCGGCTCATTGTTGCAATTTTCTGACTAAAAAAGAAAAAGAATGAAATGAAGCAATGTTTGAGTTTGCATTTATGAAAAGCTGCAGGCTCCAACCAAGTTTTTTTTGCCTCACAGAGCATCCCTCCTCCTGCAGGAGGAGGAGCTGCCACTCAGCTCCTCCAGACTGGTGGCAGCAGCAATTGGCAAGCACCTGTTGGAACTGTGCATCTGCCGAACTCATCACAGAAATGACTTCTTAGTCCAAAGCTCTTGGACTAAGAAGAGCATAATGGAGGAGGACTGTTTTTCTGAAGGGGGAGCAACGGAAAGAGTGGGAGCTTCTTAAAGAGACAGAGGCTGATTCCACGGGATCAAATTTCAAAGTCACTTTTGTTTTAAGTTATGTTTGATATATGCAGCATTTTTATTACAACTGATGGTAACATAATTACTTAATTGCGGTATAAAATGGCACAATGTACATGGAACATACATTTAAATATTTAAATTGATAAGGGAAGATGATGGTTTTAACATATGACTCAGGACACCACAAGTGAGCTGATATCAAAAACTGCACTCTGTTCTACTCTATTGTTGAGGTCTACCATTTGGCTTTCACTACAGCTAACAGTTGGTCTGGGCTCTGAGGTTTTAGACAGAAGTTCTCAGCTTCACAGTCTAACCTCTGAGTGAACTTTGCTTGGACTCCTGCTCCTGTTTTGACTCATTTCTGTTTGTCTCCAGTGTTTTTGTCTGCTGAAATATGGACTCCAACATTTTTTAAAAATCATTAAGAAATTGATGATCAAGAGGAACGCTTTTTTTTTTTTTCCAGTTCATCGCCGATGTCTTCCCTTGTTGACATCATGCTAATTGTTTGTTTCTAAATGCTTACCCTCAAACTGTCAAAAGTTGCTCTTATAAATGTACTTAAACCTCTGTCAATGCTCAGTTATGTTCTTCTGCTTTTTAATACATTGCTTCGTGATTTTGTACTAATTGCTGTTCACTCATTACTAACTTCATAATAATTTAGATGCATTTTTACATGCCCAATAAAAGACTTTGTTGACATAATATCACAATAACAATAGAAATTTTTACGTTACCTGCGTGTGTATTTGCAGAAGACAGAAATGCGGTTGCAGAGAAGGTCACACACTGATTAAAGCCATGGATGTGGTGAGGAGCTCTGTTGAGAAGCACCAGTTTGATCAGATATCAGAGTGACTCTGCTTCCGCTGGCAAAGGACGGTTTCAGTCGCTGCTGTTCGTGTGGTGTGTCTTTACTGGGACCCCAAAATATTTCCTCATGAACATGTTTTTTATTTCATCATATTACCTAAAAGTGATGAAGTTTCAGTTTCTGGTTTTATTCCAGATGATAGAGATCTGAAACATTCGTGCAACAATAACTTTTCATCGTCTGAATGCATTTCACAATTGAATTAAACTTGAGACTCTTTACGGTTGTGTAAGTTTGCTTCATATCCTCCTAAATATTCTTTTTGAATCATTAAAGGCTCATGTTGAAGCTTCCCCCGCCCCCTCGGAACATGTGAGTTCAGGAGTCCTCTTATAAATATAACAGACATCCTGTCATCCTGTTTTGAAGATACTGAAGCTCCCAAGCCTGAAAACACCTTCCTAGCTGTGGAGTATGAGGTTTGTTTGGTACCAGGCATCATTGGTGCACTTTGATAAAATCATGGCGATAGCACATTATTTGGAAAGTTTCAACTAACCAGCACCCAATAGGTCTCCCAAGTAGACAACGATCTTAAGAATAATTGGGGAAAATTTGCAGACAGCAGGTCAGTTTGATGAATTCTCAAAAGGATAAAGATTTCAGAGTATAAAAAGTAAGGGGTAAGTAGTTAAGTATTGTGAGGGGAAACCCAGAAAGCTTAGTCCAAGTTATACACTATAAATACAGTCTTAGCAAGTACTAAAAAAGGCGATGTAAACATATGCGGTTAAAATAAGATTTAAAGATGTCGTTTCATTATTTTGGCATTTGGTAAATATAAATGTTGGTGGTCCAATGTGACTTACAACAGGAAACTTAGAGTTGTCAGAGAGTAGTGACAACATCAATGCTTCCTCTTTTATGTAAGTTGTGGAGCATGTGCCTCTGTATGCTCTGTATGTAAAGTTTGCCTAAATCAGTAAAACTGACGGCGGGAATGAATTCAAGAACATTGCTTGTTTTCTTGGATGTAAAGACACCATCAACATGGAGCGCATTTATGCAACAAGGTACCTTTTAATTTTTTTTTGCGTTTTTTTCACTAACAGATTAGTCTGCTGCAACTGCAGAAGCACAGACCTGCTTTGCAGGATGGAGATGGCACAGCATTGCATCTAACCTCCAGTTAGTTCTCCTTTGAAGAACATATCTGATCTAAACCTGGAGAAATGAAGAATAGAATAAAAAGCATGATAAACCAACTTTTTTTTTTTTCAGACACTAAGTACAAACTCCCACAATAAGACTAGTGGAGACCTCTGGAGTAAAGAACTGGAAAAACACCACAAAGAAGGTATATGCATTCTCTACTGATCTAAACGGGTTTTCAACAAAAACAAGTCCATCTGTTTAACATAAAAATATCATACGCAGCAGTAAAAAGCAGTAGGTGTAGCACTTTTATTTTTTATTTTTTTGGTCGGGAGAAAGGTTAGATGGAGAGATAGTGAGGTTTTATATTAAGTTCCTGTCACTGAGGTTTCTCAAGCTTGTGAGCTGTAAAGTCGGGTTGAACGCAGGCAGCTCCCTGGCGATGCTGGTGGAAGATACGAGAGGAAGCCGAAGCATTATTGGCATCTGTAAAAGAGCTAAAACCGTCGCCACCGTTCTGTGATGTGTGGATGAGTCACCAACAGTCAGTGTCACATTTACACAGACATCTCAACCACCGGCACAAAAATCAAAATGCAAAAATACGCTAAAGCTGAAAAAAAGAGACCCTTTTTTTTTTTCACCTTCCCATTAAGCAGCTCTGACTTCTGAGAATAATGATAGATGTAGAAATTCGGTTGTGTAAGTTTGCTTCATGTAAGAAAGTCAGGCAGCCGCAATGTGGGGCCTCTTGTAGCAGTTTGTAAGCTTATTAAAAATGCGGAGACGTTACAGGCAAATTACTTAAAATACGAGTCAAATTATGACTGAACAACAGAAAAGATGAGAAGTAACTCAATATGCCATAACTGGAAAACTCCAGATCGTATCACATTATTACTGTACTTGCCTGAGGTACTTTCCCATTAAACCAAACAATTCTGAGTAACCTATTAAAACCAGAAAATGCGAAGTTATTAGGTGTAAGATTGATATGTAAATTCATCTGTGGCAGCCAATGAGACTCTTCTACTGTGCAGGGCATTTCCAGATTAGGACATTAAAGGGGATCATTGTGTAAAACGGACTTTTTTGAGCTTTATATCATCTTAAACTGTGATTTCCTCACAATACACAAATTCAGAGTGCTGCTTTGATCAGTTCATGCATATTTGAGTAATTGTTAAATGTCCGGTGGCGCCTTAGCACTTGCTCAAACAATTCACCACCTATTTAGCCAAAGCTCTACCTTGAAGCTTCAGTTTCCAGCTGAGTTCCTGCCTCACAAAGCACTTCTCTTCTCCGCTCCCCCCCCCACACAGCTCCATCAGACTAGTGGCAGCAGCATGTAGCAACACCAGGAACTGGAACTGCATTCCAGGTGTTGCTGAGCTTTTTTCAGACAAACTACAATGCTCCAAAGAACGGTTGTAAACTGATGGATGGCATGAAGAAGCATTGTTGTGATGACGTGGTGAAAAGGGGAGTGTCAGAAAGGGTTAGAGTTTTTCTTTTTAAAGAGGCAGAAATCAATTTCAAAGCATCAGACGACGCGAAGTGAAGCTTAGTTTAATAAACAACGTTTTTATAACTGGACGTAAGATAGCTGTGCTATAAAATGGTGAAATGTGCCTAAAACAATGCATAATATCCCCCTTTAAAACCAATATTTATATTCTTCTGCTGAAAAAGAAGCTATATTTAAACACAAGGTCGAAAGGATGGTCTTGTGTCATGTAAATTCAATTTCATTCAGTTGTGTTTATTGAGAGTAAGTCTACTTTAAACTTACTCAAAAATCTAAATTTAAAGAGGATGCAGTTTAAAAAGTGGTAGCCTTTGCTGTTTTTTTTTATATAAAAAATGGGACCTCGTACTGAAATTCTGAATAAACTGAAACTAATGATAATTTAAAAAAAAAAATCAATTAAATTAGCTACCATTACAGATCTTCTTTTGAGATTTCTTATTCAACATGATGTACTGCAGTCTTAAAAGAAAAACAACTTTATTTTGATAAACATGTCATTCAAGAAGTGTCACGTAGTTAATTTATCTTCTCTTTTAAACGGAAGTTGTAATCCGAAGATAGCAAACCCCCTCCCCCCTAAAAAACTGAACTTTAAAAACATTACATGAAATAGGAAATGCTGAAATAAATGCTCACAGAACTTGTTGTCTAGTAAGCAGAAGACAGGAAAAGCACACTGATGTGAGAAAATGATTTCCCCTCCCTGAAGAATTCAACTGTTTTATTTTCTCACACTAACATTTCACAAGAGGAAACTAATTTTAATATAATTTAATAATAACAAAAAAAGCAAAACAAATGCAGTTCCAATTGACATTTTCCCTTTTGATTTAAGAGAAAAGAGCTAATACATTTTATATAAAAAAAGCACATCATAACGCAACGTAAAGTAATTTAATATAAGAGGAGAAACGAACACATTGACGATTTTCAGTCTCTAAGGCAAAAGGTCTTCAAATACTTTTCTTTGACTTTAAGGCTATGCAAATCCCACTGCTTTATCTTTAGCTTTGTCACAAAAGCTAAAGATAAAGCTCTGGAGACTTAATTTGACTCAGTTCAGGTCAAAGTTTATGGTTCAACAAGAAGAAGAAAACGGGTCTGCCAAGCCTGATTTAAAAGGAATTCGTTTTTACTTTAATAAATGGAGTCATCACTTGAAAAATGTACTTTGTACCTAATGACGTCATTCTCGTCTCATATTGAAAAGACATAAAGACAAAACAGCGAAAACAAGCAAAACGCAAGGGGGAAAAAAACAAAACCTTTTTCACAAGGCTGCACTGTGATAAATCCTCTTCTACTTCACATGTGACCTTTTTTTTTCTGCTACTACCTCTACTTTTGACCCGGTGCGCTCTCGCTCCCCTGCGCCGCCGGGACAACAGTAGAAGTACAGTAGAAGCCTTCGGTGCCGTAGTATCTCATCGCGTGTCCTCGCCGAAGAACGTCACACAAGCGTAATTTAAAAGGATGGCTGCTGGATCAGCAAAAGGTCACTAATTGTCACCAGTCAAATGCAGTTATAATACATCTCACTTAGGTCACGGCTAAACACTCCATGCAGACAGTGTCACCTACAGGTTAGGAGCCTGCTGCACTTAAGGCCTGCATTTCATGCTCCATTAATTCTGTGCCCAGAGTTAAACATCTCATACCAAGTGAACGGTGCTGTGGAAAAAGGAAAGGACAGCCGTCTGTTGGGGCCCCACCAGGCGTCCCCAAGGGTCTCTCGGTGTTAAATGCTGCAGCGTCCTATGAAGGCATGGAAAGAATGAGACGATTGTTGCTCCTCATGCACGCTCTCCGCAGATACAGGAGTAACTGTGAAAAAGTTATGCAAATGACTTCAGTTTAAAAAAATGAAACAAACAAACAAACAAAAAAACAAAAAAAATCAGCCAGAATCTATGTTTTTAATCCAGCAGCTTTGAATGACTTTTGTGATTTAATTTTGTTTCCTGAGAAGTCGCCTTAGGAAGCGTGTAGTGAAGTGTTTGGGAGTTTTACGGGTTGATGGCTGTGTGACATGAAAGGTCTTAGGAAATTGAAAGTGACGACCCAGCATGGGACACGCATGAAAGTCACTTCTCAGAAATGTGACCTTTTTCTGGATGTTAAGTCAGGGGTGGGCTAAAAAAAAAAAAAGAAAAAGAAAAAGAAAAAAAAGTGTATGGGGTGGGAGGAGGGAGAACGGGTAGAGTAGAACAAACTGATTTGAAGAGAGTTATACAATAGTGAATGGTGCAGTTCAAGCCCATGGAAGAACAACCCCGGAAGGCATATCGCTTTAAAGGCACCCTCATGTTGGAAGGGAGACCAGTGGTGTGTTGGTGAGCCAAACTGGGAATGACTTCTGGTGTCCACAACATGTGTGGAAAAGCCAGCGTGGTTCCACAAACCGGTGCCTAACCAGATCTGGAGTGTTTTTTTGCTGCCAAAATGAATTCTGTAAGAAATCCACCCAACACCATCCCCATCCCTCCTATCACCGCACGTACATTTCAACTTTGGGGT